TCAAAACGTGGAGGCCACACGGAGGCTCCGGTAAGGCATACTACCTTACCGGAAGAGTTCCATATATATATGAATTTTAATTAGACCCTGAAAAATACCAGCCTGGCCTCTTATTTTAATTATTTAAAAGATTATGAATTTATTTGTTATGACAATTTTACTACAAAAACATTACATTTAATTATTATATCACCTCTGTTCTTAAATAGAAAATGCTAAATTTGTCTCATTTTAAATTTTCAAATCTGATTTTAAAAAAAATTACTAATAAGGATGAAATATATCAATGGACAAAGTTGTGCATTAGCAAACATGAAAATGAAAACGTTGCGAACTCTAATTTGGCGATAAGACTAAATAGCTGAAAATAAAAATGTCCAAACTCTTAAATTTCAGAATTGAGGACACCTGATATTTATCAAAAATTTTAAATCCCTCGAATTTCATAATGATAACATTGACACTTTTTGTCTTCAAGAAAATTAAATAAATAAAATTAAATACATACTATATATGGCCATTGTAGTATATATGGCCAGTGTTAGTCAAATACATTTAGGAAACACATTAATTATTTAATCATTAATTATCTCATAAGTTTTACACGTTTTTACTAACATATTACTAATAAGAAATTTATGGACAAAAATGTGACTATAAATTAGTATTCATAAGTTTTATAGTCACTATGGTGTAACATTTGTATACAATTATAGTCACTAAAGTTACCAAGTCATATTTTGTCAACTTTTTTTTATTTATATTTTGGTTAAATATTTGTTTAAGTTTATATGCTGATTTGTGATGTTTTTAATGGGACAGTCTCAAAAGAAACTAAGTTATACTAGACTAGATCAAATCAAACTTTGGTAGACCACATCAGATCAAATGAGATCTGGTCATATATATACCTTACTACACTTCAACAATTATAAATAGACATAGAGATTAGTTGAGATCAGACAAGACAATAGTAGTACACAATTCAATGATTGCTATAGACCTCTTGTATGAAGCAAAGTAAAAATGTGTTTCTTATATTTATTTTTATTTTTTATTATAAAGATATATGCTACTACTCTACGTAGTATGCTATTATGTATTATTTGAATACCCTATAATGAACCAATCACTATTCAAGTATGCATCAACTTGTACACAACATTTTACACGCTGGTCAAATTATCTATGCAAAAACAATTTTACCGTTGTTTTGTAAAGAAAATCATTTTTCGCACTAATAAAAACTTGTAAAATGTCGTGTACAACTTGCCGTGTACGAATAGCATTTTCGATAATAAATACCCTATGATAAAAGTCAAAGTTTTTGTAATCCTGTTTAGATTCTTGGGTTAAACTTCACTATGGGTTAGTCCATCAATGATCCATCGCTCAAAGTCAACATAATGATTTGTGACAGGTAATATTATGAGAATATGACATGCATGTCCGTTACAAACCCAGGTAAATTAAAGCAGTCAAATGTTTTGATCATTCATATTCACATTGTACGATAGTATATGCTTCAATCTATCTGATCTTTCATATTGTATAAATTAAGGTCCAACCTTCTCTTCCTTCCATCACCATACCTTATCCCAAAAATCCCAACGAAATGGCACTGTGCAAATTTTCTACGCTGTTTATAATGTTGTTGAGTATTGCTGGTAGTCCAGTGTTAGGAAGAGTTGTGAAAGGAAATGAGGTCGTAGTTGAAGTGGCCACAACTCCGGCTCCGGCGATGGGCGGTGCCGGAAGAGGGTTGGTGCCAGCCATGTTTATATTCGGAGACTCACTAGTTGATAATGGAAATAACAACAATCTGTTTTCACTTGCGAAGGCCAATTACCCTCCTTATGGCATTGATTTCAATCAAGGTCCCACTGGTCGCTTCTCTAATGGTTATACCATTGTTGATGAAATTGGTACAACTCTCGACTATATATACCCATTAATTAGAATTTCAATTTTGTTTATTGCTATTTAGGACTTGTTCACTATAGAGATCATTTTTGAGTTTTGTTGTTGTTGTTGTTGTTTTGAGTCTTGTTGTTATTGTTGTTGTCGTTATTGTTGTTGCTGTGTTTTGTGATTTTGATAGTTGTAAGATATAATGTACCCTCTTTTTTTTTTTGAGAATTTGAAAGTTTTAAAATGCACACTGAAACTTCCGCTTTACCCTTATAGTTAGATGAGATATTAAATAGTGTTTTTTAAAATGTATATATTCAATCAAAATTTTAACCATTTCAACTTATTTCACCATTTCAGTCACACAACTTAAATGTGTAACGCCATTTCTTTAAAATTTACACTACAAACAAGATCAACAATCATGTCAAATTGATTACCAATCTATGCTGATTTACTTGTGAATAATGAATTTCAATATTCAAGTTATCAACCTAATTATTTTGTATGACCTAATTTTATGTTTCAAGCTCCTGACATACTTGAACACAAGATTTGCGATTGATTGAGATTTTATATAGTTTCTAAACACAAAAGTTTAAAGATTATTAATTTGAACTTGTGCGGGAATCTGTTATACAAAATAAGACGTATACAAGTACAAATGGGACATATGTACTACCTTTGTTTTAGTGATTTTCTTATTTTACGTTTTGACTATGCTTTGTAGCCTATTGTAACTGTTTGTGAAATGTCAACATTCTTGATGGAGAAAAGTTTTGAACAAGTAAATATAGGCCTAAAAAACCACAAGGTACTTAGCGTGCCGATATATTTAAAAATGACTGTATTTAACCCATGTATTCATGGTAATGTATAGGTGAATTGCTAGGACTACCATTTGCCCCGGCATTCTCTGATCCTCCCACTATCGACCAAATGCGTTTTGGAGTTAACTACGCCTCCGCTGCTGCTGGCATTCTAGACATAACCGGCGAACACTTTGTAAGCCCTCAACTTTTCTCAATTTACGCAGCGTTACATTCTAATAACAAAATTTATGGCTTGGCTACCACCAATAAATTTGACTGTTAATTTTTTTTTATAGATGATATTAGAGCATCAACAACTAAAGGGACTAGTTCTTTATAATGTTATAAACACTATTTTTCAATCATGTGGTAATTACTTGGGAAAAAATATAATACTTCTATGTTTCGAATTTCACATTGTTTTAACTCATATTTCATGTTCTTATATTGACACATCACTAATGGAAGACCTTATTTTCACTTCCACAACAATGATGTCAAGTATTATGTAATACTACCTCCGTTCTCTTTTAGTTGCAACATTGGACTTTTTGCACTATTCACATGTTCTACTTTGACTACATTTTATTAATTGATGTATAATAAATAAAATTTTTAAAAAATATTGTTAAATTCTTCTTATTCTAAATTTTCAAAATATGATTTTTTTAATTTTTTTACTAATAAGGAATTACAGATATTAATGGTCAAACTTGTGCGTTGGCAAACGTGAAATGTTGACTGTTGCAATTAAAAAGGAACGGAGGAAGTACATAGTAATACTTCACAAATAAGCCTTAAATTTTCTTGAGAAAACAATTAAAGCCTAGTTTTGTTCAAATAATCAAACTTGTGTGGAGTACTTATAGTTGAGCACTTTCTGGTCTCAACTATAAAATCATACCGACTGGTTCAGATTAGACTCAAATCAATTACATATCAGATTATTCAAGTCTGATCAACATTGACAATATTTCAATCATGATTAGTTGGGCACGTTTTGTTTTAAAAATTACATATATTATGCAGGTGGAACGTGTTCCGTTCAATGAACAAATCTCAAACTTTGCGAAAACGATAGATATACTATCAGGCAATCTGAGTGCTGATGTGGTGAAAGGGGACATTCCATATTCGGTTTTGTTTGTGGGGATGGGCAGCAATGACTACCTCAACAACTATTTCCTGCCTGGTTACCCGACTAGTATGACCTACAACGCTCAACAATTTGCGGATCTTTTGATTCAGCAATACACCCAGCAACTCACCGTAAGTTAGCACTACTAACTAATCAGCTATAGCTAGTATTTGTTGAAATCACATACATGAATATTGTGAAGTAATAAAGTGGTACAATAAGATCTGGGCTACTTTTCATATGAGGCTGACCTTTCACGATGAAATCCCAGATCTTAACGTGATATGATATGAGAGCCAAAATCGATCCATAGCCATGATGTGGCCTCCCATGGAAAAAAATGATGATGATAAAAAGAATGACAACGATGAACTGGTGGAAAAAATAAATGACAATAACATAGTGTTATACTGTTATTGATGGAGTATATGGCCCAGGAATCCCCGGTCCACATACTCCTACTACCACGAAACAGGCCCAACAAGCCCAGGCGGCCTATATGTGACGACCCAAGCTCTAGGAAGTCCATAGTACATGAAGTATGCCATTAGCACCATTACCGAGGGCCTGAAACTCAGGGGTACGCCTACTTTTGGGCCAACAACACTACTGGAAATTTCGGTCCCAAACATCCTTCGGCAGTACAACCTTCGACCCTGCGACCGAGGGGGACACCACTGGCATCTCTGTAGACACACAACCATCGCATATAATGCGGTGTCACATCCAATCACCACATTTAATGCGGTGCCACATGCAGTGCCGGCGCCACCACGGCTGAAATGACTCCCCACCATAGGTTAGCTTACACGTGTATATGCATTAAATGTGCCTGACACTTATGGCTGCTATAAATAGCGCCCCTTGGGCAGTTGTAAACCACGACCAATTCATTTATTACATTCGAGTTCTATATCTTACTTATTGCCCTGACTTCTCTCTAGATACCGCTAGTGGTATCCCGATATAGACTATCTATCGGTTATATTAAGATTTGAACTACTCCTTTTACGAGGTTAATCTTTTAGCATGAATGCCAAATTTTCATAAACCAAACCAAACATAACGTACAACTCTTATGAGGCTGACCTTTTGCATGCAGAGACTGTACAATCTTGGAGGTAGGAAATTTGTACTTGCTGGGGTTGGAGCATTGGGGTGCATCCCTACAATGTTGGCCCGGACTGAAAACGGGAAGTGCTTAGATGGTGTGAATGAAGCAATTTCCCCATTTAATGCCAATATGAAGCAGATGATCAACAACTTCAAGTCCACTCTCCCTGACGCTAAGTTTGTCTTCCTTGACACCCAAAATATGTTCCGCAATATCACCGCCAACTCCAAAACATATGGTACGTATCAACTATAATAGTACTACCTCCTGCCCTTAAAATTTGGATGTATAACAGTTCTTCCACGCTTGTATCGGTACCCGATCAATGCGGGTTTTCTCATTTTGACTGGAGAAATATACCAGTTAATTACTGATATGCAATTGTAACCCCTGTGTATTTCATGTATGAAATTTATTGTAATTACTAATTAATATCTTCACCAACGAGCAATTGTACTATGTTTTATGAAATAATATTTTAGGGTTCAATGTTACGGATCGTGGCTGTTGTGGAGTTGGGAAACTAAATGGGCAAGTAACATGCCTGCCTTATGAAGTGCCTTGCACAAACAGAGAAGAGTACATATTTTGGGATGCCTATCACCCCACATCTGCCGTGAATGTATTGCTTGGGAAGATGTCTTTCAATGGAGGTCCTGATCTGGTTTATCCCATCAATATCGAGCAACTTGTCAAGAATGAAGTTTGGCCATTTTAGAAAAAGATGTGAATTTTAATTCTTTTGAATTATTTTCTTGAACCCCTCTTTATTGATATCAAGGACTTGAAAGTTGAGATGTTTAGGAAAATAAAGTTTGGACTACAAATTCCATTTCAAGTGGTGTTTCATATGACAATTTCACTTTGGGGTTATTTATTATCTCGCCCCTTAAAGTTCTCACAATGATTAAATAAAGCTCTAGAGTAATTTGAGTATATTAGAGTAGTAATTCGGATGAGTGTATAATATAATGGGGCGATTGATTGTGTTACGTTATAAATGTATTTTTTTTAATATTTGGTGATTATATTGTCATTTAAGAGTAATATCAATAAAAAACAGAGTAATGACAAATTTTTAAAATAGAAATGCGAGCATTTAAATGAGTTGTCCAAAACGAGCAACTGAGAACTTTTGCTTGAGACGGTTGGAATATGTATTACAAAGTATATACTCCGTATTATGGAAGGGGTAGGACAGTGAGGATCTAAGACAATAAATCATGACAAACAACATAGTACAGAGTATAAAAAAGAGCCAATTTGTTTTTGAAATAAAATCTTAAATAATGTCTTTTAAAATTCCAATTTGGAACTCGGTGCAAGCCTAATGATGTTTTTACTTGGACTTTAATTTGTCTCAGACCAGACTAGATCATACCAGACCAGACTTGGATAGTTATAAAAATACAAAGAAACCAGACCAGACCAGACTAGTTCAGACCAGAACAGTAAATTACAGTCCAAGTAAAAACATAAGGCTTAAGAGACGACTCGCCCAAGGAGTAACACAAGTAACTTACAAGTATAAATGATTTTAATTAAAGAGAGAAAATTGCTCTAAATATGATTAAAACTATTCGACCCCTAAATAGAAGTACGTATTTTATATTCCTTAAGAGGGGGACAAACTCTAATTTAGGAAGAGGTGAAAGCGCATTCAAATTATCTGTAAATTATACGTAAACATCTTAATTCACGCAAAAATTCTAAAACAATTCATGTGACACTTAATAGTTTGAAAAACAATGTTATTGAGAATACACCACAATTACACTACTATAACGGAAAAGTAAATGAACGAATGAAATAAGAGGAAAAGAGTCACATCAATGATGCATGGGCAATCAAGGGATTAGATTGTACTCCCTCCGTAACTTTTAAATCTTCCCATTTCAAAAGTAGGTAGATTAAGAATAGTGAAAATGATATGAATTATTGAGGGTATGATGGGAAAATAGTGGAATAATGTGGTGGAATGTAGGATAAATCCAAAAAAAGTAGTTGTAATAGTGTATTATTTTAAGAATTATTGAGGGTATGATGGGAAGATTTAGAAATGGGAAGATTTTTTTGTTACGGACGAAAAAGGAAAGTGGGAAGATTTTTAAGTTACGGAGGGAGTATATGGTTTAACTGTTGAAGCCAACTAGAATAGCATCCTTCACATAGAATATCATGTACTACTTCCGTCCCGTTGGAATGTTCCCACTTTCCTTTTTTGGATGTCCCAATGGAAAGTTCTCATTTCCCTAAATGGAAAGTTATCCCACATCAAAACAGTGTCAAACAGTGCAAAACAGTGTCAAACAGTGTCAAACAGTGTCCAAACAGTGTCCAAATAGTAAAATTTACCCCCTGGTAAGTTTATTTCCTTAATATGTGTGTAGGTCAAACCGGGAACATTCCAACGGGACGGAGGGAGTACATCCTAACCAATGACGGAATAAAATGAAAGATTGAGATAAAAACCATTTTCTTCCTCCACTCCTACTTCAATGTTAGTGCATTGTTGAGTTCGTTGGTGTCCTCCGCGAATGTGTGAACCAATATATCTTGACAGACGAGTGGCCATGTGCAGGGACGGATCCAGGATTCTGAGTCAAGGGGGGCGAAATTTTTCGTTAGTATAGGGGGTGAATTTTTTTTGTTAGTGTAGCAGGGTGAATTTTTTTCCCCTAGTATAGCGGGGCGATTTTTTTTTTTTGCTATTGTAGGGCTATGCGGCTATTTTTATTCAAAAAATGACATTAATACATGCACATCCCGAACGACATTTAAATCTATTACATTCTAAGTTTAGACGATGACAAAGGCATCAACCGATACATTTTTAATAACTTCTACATTGTTTAACCTCATGAATCGGTTATTGAATTGTAATTTTTGTCCACCAAGGAGGGTGTTCGTGAGTCATGACTCATGAAAAGTTTTCTTAATATTACAATAGTAGTATACTAGTATGTATGAGATTGTTATTTTTAGAATAATATGCACCACATACACACACACATATATGGTGCATATTATATTTTAATATTTTTATTAATTCTATAATAATTTAGAGTTTATTATCCATGCAATAAATTATTTTTAGAAAGCAAGAAGTAAATGAATTATGTAATCTAATGTCTATAAATATTTATATTTTGGATTCATTTCACGTGATCTAAAAATTGTGTAATTAGTGTGTCTGGTATTTAATATTGTTTGATATATGTTTTATGAAATCCAATACTTGTTATCTAATAAAGATAATTAAACATTACAAAATTAGGAATTCTTATATAATAAGTATCCTAAATCTTAAATAATGAGTTACTCTATTGTTTATTTGTTTAAGTTATGTAAATTATTTTAGATGTTTCTTCTTTTAAATCTCCAATTAAGTATTACATTATGTAAGACTATATATATTAATTTTGAAAATTAAAAGTTAAGGGGGGCGAATCTAATTAAATTATGAAAGTTTTATGAAAGTATTACATATATGGTAAAAAAAATTGAATGTCCAAGGGGGGCGGTCGCCCCCCCCGCGCCCCCCCTAAATCCATCCCTGGCCATGTGTGTGTTGTGGGTGAAAATTATCTTAATGAAGCAACAATTTTGTTGGGCTTTGCTTTTCCAAGTACTCCTTCGGTCTCTATTATCTTTGATTTAAGGGAAAACCACACTTTTAATATATCCTCCAAAGAGTCACTATATTGAAATATCATACCCATATTTCAGATATTGTAAAAGTCACTGATGGATAGTCTACCCGGGGGTATCTTATCCGAGGGGTTATTGCGGGAATAACTAGAGGGAAGTCAGAGCAAAATAGGAGGAGAGAGAGTCGATTTATTCAATGAACTCTGCGTGTGGAGTTGAGATGTAGACTGTGTCCATTACAAGGAGAAATGGGCTGCTATTTATAGCAGCAATAAATGCGATGAGAGGACACGTGTCAGTAATCCAACGGCCGAAGGGTCACATCAGCCTGGTGGCACCGGCAGTGGTACGTCAACCGCATTGAATGCGGTTGGCGGATGTGACGTGGCATTAAATGCGGTGGTTGGCTGTCTCTAAAAGGAATCTTCGATGATTGAGCTTGTTCAGCCGAAGGCTCTTCGTGTGGTCGAGGGCTCCCCATGTAACCGAGGGCTCATTGTGTAGCCGAGGGCTTCTTGTGTGGCCGAAGGCTTGGTTCAGCCGAAGGCTTACCCCTGGTGCCGAGGGCATGAGAATGCCGAAGGCTTATGTCTCCGCCCGTTTTTCTCCCAGCAGCTTCTTATGCCAGAGAAGGCTATCCTGTGAGTTTTGAAGCCTTCGGCCAAGGAGGCCGAAGGCACCCCAGTGTGTATCCTGGGCCACTTTGAGGCTCGGGCCGTTGTTTTTGGGCCTGAGTTGTTTCCTGAGCTCAATGGACTAGTGTAGGAGAAATAGGAGTCTATGGGCCGGGGGTTCCTGGGCCATATACTCCATCAGGAGTCCCTCACTCCTTTTGCTGAAAGGTACTTGAGGGAAAAGGAGTAGATGCGTTGATTCTTCTGGGGGCCTCATCATTTCGCTGGGTGCCTTTGCTGAAGAACTTTGTCTACTGCTGATTGCCGAAGGCTTCCCTCAGTCCCTCACATGTCGAGGGTTTTCTGAGGGAAGTATAACACCTGTATGATCGTAGGAGGCTTTCCTCAGTCCCTCACATGTCGAGGGTTTTCTGGGGAAAGTATAACACCTGTATGACTGCAGAAGGCTTTCCTCAGTCCCTCACATGTCGAGGGTTTTCTGGGGAAAGCATAGGTGTATTGCCTGCGTGTGTTGTGGTGAGGGCTGCTTTATTTCCGCAAGTGACTTGTAGAAAACTTGTGATATCCTGCCTCTGCTGAAGGGGTTTCACTTTGATGTTTGTCCGGAGGCTGCATGCGTCAATTGTAAATTGTTTGTTTCCGTGAAATTTTTGTTGTGTATGATCCCCGAGGGGTGTATGCTAGTCCCCCACTCCTTTAGGCCGAAGGGGAGTTCGGGCTGAAGGAGTCATGATGAGTTGATGATCCCCCGAGGGGTGATATTAATTGTCCGAAGGGTGTGGCGGGTGATAGCCGGAGGCTATCATCCGAAGGCACCCGAGTGTTGCCGAAATATAGTTGTTGCAATATAGCCGTTGGAGGAGGAGTTGACGTGGCACGCTTCCGTTGGTCGGTGGGGGCGGGGGCCATCCATTGGTTGAACCGGCGGCCCGTAATGATGGGCTTTCGAACCGAGGCCCATTTTTCGAGGCCCGGTTGCCTATATATACCCCAAGTCTGAGCTCATTTCCGTTGCGCGTTTTAGAATTGAAGCGAAGCTCTGCTGAAATTTCTAGAGAGAGAAAGTTTCACCCTCGATCAACCCAAGCTTTCTGAGGTCAGTTCCTCCTCTGCTCCCTTCTTTCCTAGTTTTAGTGTTAGTATTCTAGGGAGCCCTCGGTTTCTTTCATTTCTCCTGCTCCTATCTTCTGAACGCCTAAGGATGTCGTCGGCGAGTGACTCCCAAGACATTTCCGTGGAGGCCCCGGTTCAGTCGGAGAGCTACTCCGAGGTGGAGTCTTCAAGCGAGCAGCCCTCCGTTGGGGATGATGCCGCCGTAGCTGAGGAAATCCAATCCACTCTCCGGACGGAGCTAGAGGCCGAAGAGTTCGAGCAGGTGGTGGCAGATGAGGAGATGGCCCTTGCTCTGCAAATCGCTGAAGAGGAGGATGAAAAGGAGCGCCGCCAGGTGACAATTGCAGTCATGCCCTCTCGGGGTGCTGGTGAAGCGAGCACCTCCCGGCCGTTGGACGTGCAACCTCTTCGGGTAGCCGAGGGAAAGAAGAAGAAGAATTCGAGGGCTGCACCCAAGAAGAAACAAGCAGCCGTTGACGCGGGGCAACCGGTTGGGATCCCCGAGGGTCACTCCTATTTGGACACCACCGCCCTCGAGGTGAAGACTACGGCATCGGGTACTGAGTGTCAGGCACTACAGATATTCGTCGGGCCTTCGGCGCAGGTCGTGGAACCGGGTCCCGAAGATCTGCTCTCTAATCCTCCCGAGGGGTGCTTCGCGGTGCACATGCTGTCGGTAGAGCTAGGGCTCAGATTCCCCCTGCACCCCTTCGTCATAGAGTATCTGAAGTTTGTTAAGTTAGCCCCCTGCCAGCTCACGCCCAACAGTCATTATTATCTGGCGGGGTTCCTAGCTCTCTGTCGAAGCCGAGGGGTGGTCGCCACATTGGACCAATTCTTCCTCTCATTCAACCTCTGCCGGGGAGGTCATACCCATGCCGGGGGGTACGCTAATTTGCAGCAGGTTCCGGCCTGGAAGCTGTTCTCGGAGACCCCCTCCTCCCACAAAGATTGGAAGGAGAAATTCTGCTACATCCGGATGACCGAAAATCCGTTCCCGGGGGCTCTGAAAAATCATTTCAAAAGGCACCCGAAGGTAGGCAGTGCGGCCCTCGACAAGGCGGGAAGGAAACTGATCCAGAAGCCCGCGGGTTCTGAGAAAGTGATCGCCATTAAGGAAGCGACGCTACCCGAGGAGCTCTATCTGTTGGGCTTCCGAAGATATCGTCTTCCGGGGGAAAAGGACGAGAAATACCCTGAAATCGATCGAGGGTATCAGAATGCCAGAGGTTGTCCACCGAGGGCTTTTGTTGTGTTACTTAGAAAGATTATCCTTGTCTTTGTTTGATCCTAATCCTTCCTTCGTTTTCGCAGGTGACATAATGGACGTTCAAGCCTTCGCCCGATTATCCAAGAAGCTGGCCCAGGTGCCGAAGAAGAAGAAGGACGAGGGGTCCTCGAACCAGCCCCTCGTCGATGAGGTGTTGAAGAAAGCAGGGGCTCCTAAAGTCCCGGAGGGTGGGGACCCCTCCAAGAAAATTGCTGCTGATTCCGGTACTAGTGCCGGAGGCTCCCAAGCCGGGGAGCTTAAGAGAAAAAACACCGGGAAGGGCTCCAAGCCTCCGGTGACTAAGAAGCAGAAGGGGGCCGATGAAGGTAAGGGTGCCCCCCTTGTGATCCTTGAAGAGCCCTCCTCCTCGCACCTGGTGGATCTTGACGAGGGGGCCTGGCCGCAAGAGACGGTGCGGTTCTCCTTTAAGAGGGGGACTGCCATCGTGCACGGCACCCTCGATCCGAGGGAATATCTGAAGGGTGCCACTCCCCCTTTGGATTGCTCGACCCTCGGTAAGTTCGAGGACGAAGCCCTCGAGCGAAGAGCACTCGAGGCCTCGGTCACTGTAAGTCCCTTCCCCTCGCTAAGCTTATGTTTTGTTTTCTCATATTTTCTGCTTGCAGGTTCTGACTTCTAGTGTCCCTCCTCTGCTTGCAGGCTAGCCTGGCCTTCGGTGAATATGTCCGGAGAATGGAGCAGCTTCGCCTCCGGAAGGCGGAAGACGACGAGGCCCTCAAGAGGCTTGTCGTCAAGAACACCGAGGCCATCAGGAAGATGGCTGAGCTGGAGGAGGCCCTGAGGCAGGCGGGCGACAAGCTGGAGGCCGTGAGGGTGGAGGCTCGCGCCGAGGGGAAGGCTGAAGCGGAGAAAGCCGCTGCCGATGCCGCCAGGGAAGCAGCCGAGGAAGCTGAGAGAGCAAAAACTGAGGCCGCGGCCAAAGCTAGAGAAGATGCCGTCGCCGCATTTGTATCCGAGGGTTGGAAGGCCGAGGACCGCAAGGAGTGGGTGGCCTCGGTTATAGAGCAAGGTGTCGATGCCTGGGTGAAAGGCCCCGGATCCGAGTGGATGGCCTTAAAGGGCAAAGACTACTTTGACGGGGGCGAGTTTTTCACCCAGCGCCTCATCTACCGGAAGCTGGCGGAGCACTTCAAAATCCCCAAGGACAAATTCGACCCTTCGGCGTATGGCCTCCCCCCTCAGCAGCCTGATGTTAGGGTCCCCCTCCCAGAAGGCGAGGAAAGGGTTCAGCTTGCGGACTCCGAATTAATGAGGGAGTATGGCCTTCATGATGAAGAGGGTGCGGAAGATGATGCGTCCTCCAAGCCGAGGGATGACGTGGTCGAGGATGCCCAACCTTAAGAATTTCTTTTAATTGCAAGCTCTGTAATAGTAGTAGGCCCCGGCTCCGGCCATGCTTTTGTAATGAAACACATTTTTGTACCCCAATTACTTTTCTTGTTGAATGAATCATTGCCTCCGGGTTTTCCGTATGAACGAATGCCTTCCTTCATTCTGAACTTCAATGTATGCCTTTGTTTCTTTTTGTGTTTGTGTATGAATGTATGTTTCTTCCCTCCTTCCATATGAAAGTCTGCTTTCCCGGAGGCCCCTAGTTTGTGGACTTAGAAAATTTTTCTAAGTGCCACTCATTGCTAGCCCCTGGTTGTAGCGTAGTATTGCCGAGGGGTTGCCGCTGTGGACTTTAGAAAAAAAATTCTGAAGTGCAAATCCAATCATGAGCCCCCCGATCGTATTTGCCGGGGGCTTGTCGTTGTGGACTTAGAAACTTTTCCAAGTAAGTTTTTGTCAGAACCCTCCGGATGTAAAGCAGAACCTCAGAAAATAATCTAAGTAAAACTTCATTGGAAATCTTCGGTAAAGAATCCCTGTAATGCCTCCGGGGGTGAAGTGATAGGGCCGAGGGCTAAGATGTTTTAGGCTTAAGAAATTTTCACGAAGTCTCCATAGATGCTGTAGTGAACCTTCGGGTGTGAGAACTGCTCTCAGCCCCCGGTGCATATGGCTGCCGAGGGGTTCGAGATTATGGACTTAGTGAAATTCTGAGATGTGTTTCCCACAGATCTCGCGCGTAGCCCTCGGTTGATGGCTTTTAGCAAAGTTGCCATAGGTGTCATTGACCCCTCGGTTGATGGGGCCTCCGCCGTTGTGGAGTTAGAAATTGGCAATTTCACCAGGCGAAATTGCATCTTGGGCCCCCGGAAATGCTGAGCCTTTGATCGTTAGTGTATCAGCGAAGTCCATGTTGCCCACCGAGGGCTTCTCGTTTGAGTGAGTGTGGTAGCTTTCTGCCCTCGGCTTTAGGCCTCCGGTGGAAATCTTGTAGTCCAAGGTTTCATGCAATGAAGCCTTCGGCTATGTTCTGTTGTTGGGAAATTTTCTGTCGCCTTTGGAGCCTTCGGGAATGTATGTCCGAAGTGTTGAGCCTCCGGGGAGAATAGTATCCGAGGAGTTCCTTCCCCCCTACACATCATTTTTTTTTTTTTTTTTTTATTTAGATGGTGTAGGAGAGGCATCTAGAAACTTGGTTTCTAGGAAAGGCTTGGCCTATATGGGAGGCAACGGAACAAACCGCTGGCTCCCCCTTCGGGAATGACCTTCCGATATCCCGAAGGGTTTGAGGGTCGTTTCCTCGGCCCGAGACATCGTCTGTTGCCTGCTTCCCCTTGGGAGATAGCACGGAAAGCGCCTCGGTTTTGAAAGTCGTCCCCTCAGCCCGAGACATGGTCTGTTGCCTGCTTCCCCTTGGGGGATAGCGCGGGGAGCGTTTCGTTTGTGGAAGTCGAATCCTGGGCCCGGGACATGGTCCGTTGCCTGCCTCCCCTTGGGGGATGGCGCGGAAAGCGTTCCTGGGAAGGGTTTTATTTGTGTGTAGAACACAAATGGCCGGGGGCACTTGGTACCAGCCGGAGCCGAGGGGTGTTGCACCCCCCGTTTTTTTTTTTTTTTTTTTTTTTTTTTTTGTAGGAATATGTAAAAGTTTTTGAAAACACTTGGTGTTTTCAAAGAGTGATGGGGGTGACCCATACACTTGGTACTTGGTACCTAAATTGTTGTTCCTCCTCATAAGAGGGAGTGGCCTTGGGCCTTTTATGGTGAAGAGATGAGGGCTTGGCCGCTCGTGTGTAGGAGAGAAGGGGGCCTTGGACCGCTTGTATGATATGTAGGTGATGAAGGCTTGGCCTTTTGATTATTCTTCAAAAACAGAAGGGGCCTTGGGCCATTAATATTTACACTTGCTGAGGATGAGGGCTTGGCCGCTCATGCCTTATTGATAGAATTTGACAAGGTGGCGCACATTCCAATGTCTAGGGACCTCCGTCCCATTGGGGCGTTTAAGCTTGTATGTCCCTGGTTTGATGATGGCTGAGATGATGTAGGGGCCCTCAAACTTGGGAGCCATTTTTCCTCCTTCGGTGGGTAGGCTGGCTTCCCTTCGTCGGAGGACGTAGTCACCCACCTGAAATTCTCGGGAGCGGACCTTGGCGTCGATGTAGCCTTTGACTTGTCTCCTATAGTTTTCGGCCCTGAGGAAGGCTTGCTCTCGGCGTTCCGAGATGAGATGAAGGTCGAGGGCCATGTTGGCGTCGTTGACCTCGGGCTCATATTGTTCCACCCTTCGGGTCGGAAGGGTCACCTCTGTTGGAGCCTTAGCCTCAAAGCCATAGCATAGGGAGAAGGGTGTCTCGCCTGTTGCGCGCCGAGGGGTCGTGCGATAGGCCCATAAGATGTTGTGAAGTTCTTCTACCCAGCCTCCCCCTTCGGCTTCCAGCTTCTTCTTCAGCCCTTCAAGTAGGGTTCGGTTGGCGTTCTCTACTTGCCCGTTGCCCTGAGGATAGGCAACGGAAGAGAATGTGTGCTTGATGCCCCAAGCTTCAAGAAGGGCACAGAATGGGGCTGCCTCGAACTGAGTCCCGTTGTCGGAGATAATTTGTTGGGGGACGCCAAACCTTGTGAGAATATTTTTGAGGACGAAGTGACGGCACCGGGCCTCCGTGATGCTGGCGAGGGGCTCCGCCTCCACCCATTTGGTGAAGTAGTCAATGGCCACAATAATGTACCTGTTGTTGGAGGTACCCCTCGGCAGAGGGCCTACTAAGTCAATCCCCCATCTGGAGAAGGGTATAGCGGTGCTGATGGGGGCATAGTTAACCGCTGGTCTGCCGGGGGCTTTCTGAAAGTGTTGGCAAGCGGTGCACCTCCGGGCTAGATCAGCACAATCTCTAGCCATCGTGGGCCAGAAGTAGCCTTGAACTATGAGCCTTCGGGACATGGAGAAAGGTCCCTGGTGAGCTGAGCAAGTGCCACTGTGCACTTCCTCCATGGCGATTTCGGCCTCATCTTGATGAAGGCACCGAAGGAGGGTGCCGTTGTAAGATCTCTTGTAAAGCCTCCCGTTTTCGATGGTGTAGCTGGGAGCCCTCAGCTTTGCTAACTTGGCGCGGGCTTCGTCCTGGGGCAGTTGCCCTGTGGTGATGAAGGCGATGATGTCAGAGATCCAGTCCTCCGGCCTTAGGTGATGTCCATGACGGGGCTCGCGTGGATGCTTGAGAGGCTGAGTTCCTCAATTCTCGCAATTTTGGAAAGGTGCTCGGGGGATTCATCCGAGAGCTTGGATAGAATGTCGGCCTCAGAGTTTTGAGCCCTCGGTATCTGGGTGAGGGAATGTGCCTCAAATACCTTAAACAATTCTTTGGCTGCTTCCTTGTATTGCTTCATCCTTCCTTCCTTGGCCTCATATTCGCCGGAGAGTTGGCCTACGACTAGCTTGGAGTCGCACTTGACGTGGATTTGTTTGGCCTTCAGATTTGCGGCCAGCCGAAGGCCACAGAGCAGGGCCTCATATTCGGCTTCGTTGTTGGAGACTTTGAAGGAGAATCGGATGGCGTAATAGGCGCGGAAGCCCTCGGGTGTGATGAGAACTACTCCCCCTCCGCATGCTTTGGTAGCCGAGGAGCCATCGGTATATAGGGTCCACCACTCATCGAGGGGTGCCGAAGGCTCCTCATCCACCGCTGATCTTGCGGTGCATTCCGTTACGAAGTCTGCCAGGGCTTGGCCCTTGATGGCAGGCCTCGGACGGATATCTATGTTGTATTGGCTGAGGAAGATGGCCCATTTCACCATCCGAGAGGAGCTAGTGGGACTCCTCATGAGGGCGCCGAGGGGTTGATGAGTGAGCACTTGGACCGGATGAGCTTGAAAGTAGTGGCCAAGCTTCTTGACGGTCCAAACGATGGCTAGCACCGTCTTCTCGACGGGAGAATACCTGAGTTCGGCCTCCCGGAGGGTTTTGCTGACGTAGAAGATGGCGTGTTGGACGCCATCTTCCTCTCGGATTAGTACTGAGCTGATTGCCGCAGGGCTAACACCGAGATACAAGTATAAGGTCTCCCCCACCTTCGGTTTGGAGAGCACCGGGGGAGAAGAGAGGTACTTCTTAAGTTCGTCGAAGGCCTCTTGACACTCAGATGTCCATTGGAAGCCAGCTGTCTTCCTCATGATTTGGAAGAATGGGAGGGCCCTCTCGGCTGACTTAGAGAGGAATCGGTTGAGGGCCGCCAGGCGACCCGTCAACCGTTGAACTTCTTTGACGTTGCGCGGAGGCTCCATATTGATGATGGCCTGAATTTTCTCGGGGTTGGCCTCGATACCCCTTCGGCTTACCATATAGCCCAAGAATTTTCCACCTTGTACGCCGAAGGTGCATTTCTTTGGATTCAATCGGAGGTTGAATTTTTGCATGATGGCGAAGATTTCCTGGAGGTCCTCGGCGTGAGTGCCGGCCTTCTTGCTCTTGACAATCATATCGTCAACATAGGCCTCCATAGTGCGCCCCAAGACAGCTTGAAAGACCCTGGCCACCATTCGGGTGTAGGTGGCGCCTGAATTCTTGAGGCCGAAGGCCATCACGAGGTAGCAGAAGATGCCTTCGGGTGTCATGAAGGCAGTTTTTTCAGCGTCTTCTTCATGCATATAGATTTGATGATACCCGCGGAATGCGTCGAGGAAGGACATGATTTCGCATCCCGCGGTCTCATCCACCAGTTGATCAATGTTTGGCAGAGGGAAGGGGTCCATAGGGCACGCCTTATTCAGATCAGTGTAGTCCACGCACATGCGGAAGGTAGGAGGCTTCTGTGCAAGGACTACATTTGCTAACCAAGAGGGGTATTTCACCTCCTTGATATGTTTTATGGAGAGGAGCATGGCTACCTCCTTCTTCACGAACTCCCTTCTCTCGGCCGAGAGGGGTCTTCTCCGCTGTTGTACTGGTTTGGCCGAAGGGTCCACCGCTAGGCGGTGGGTGATGACCCTTCGGTCAATTCCCGGCATATCCTCCGGCCCCCATGCAAAAACAATGGAGTAGGCGCGGAGGGCTTTGGTGATGCCAGCCTTCAAGTCTTCGGGGAGCTTGGCTCCAATCTTCAGGACTCTCTCCGGCTTGGCCGGATCGAGTATCAAGTCTTCGGTCTCCTCGGCAGGCTCAGCTCTCGGCCTGCCTTCTTCTTCCTCCAAGGCCCTGGTGGTGATGGTGTCCACACGTAGTTCTGTTTTACTAACCTTCTTGGTAAGTTGAAGGTAGCAGGCCCTGGAGAGTTTTTGATTCCCCCTCGAGTAGCCGATGCCGTCAGGCGTGGGGAACTTGAGGCAGAGGTGCCTCATGGAGATGACAGCCTCCAAGTCCTCGAGGGCAGGCCGGCCGAGGATGATGTTGTGTGCGCAGTCGAGGTTGACGATGACGAACTCCACTTCGAGCTTGGCTCTATGGGATCCGTCGCCGAATTCAACCATGAGGGTGATGACGCCCTCGGCGTCTATGCTGTCCCCCGTAAATCCGGAGAGGGGGGTGTTGATGTGTCGAAGGGACCCCCTATCGAGTCCCAGCTCTTGGAAAGTGCTGAGATACATGACGTTGACAGAACTCCCCGTGTCGACGTAAGTCCGGTGGATGATGGCGTCGTTGATCTCAGTGCGGATGACGAGGGCATCTCTATGCGGCAGAGAACCCGAGGGGAGGTCCGCATCTGTGAAGAAAATTGGATCCGCCTTCGGCCGTTTAGTAGGGGGCATGTGGTTGACCTCCCCAACGTAGAGGGACTGTGCCCACTTCTTCCTTTGGCTCGTAGAATCGCCTCCGGTGTTGCCACCATTAATCATGTGGATGTGGCGCTTGTATTGTTGGTGGGAGCCCTCTCCCTCGTCTTCGAGGCCGCCAATTTCACGCTTCTTCCCATGCGGGTTTCCCAAGGGAATGGTGTTGGGGTTCACCCACTTGTTTGTCTTCGGCGGAGGGCCTTGATGATGAGGGGGACCCTGGGGAGGAGGGCCCCGGATAAACTGAGATAAGTGGCCTGCCTGTATCAGCCTCTCAATTGCGTTTTTCAGTTGGTGGCAGTCGTCGGTCTTGTGCCCATGGTGGCGGTGAAAGCGGCAATATGGCTCATCAGGGCCGATGGCATAAATCTCGAGGGGTGTGCGGGAGTCTCGCTCAACGAGCCCCCGCTCTTCCGCATGATCAAGAATGACGCTGACGGGGTGCGTCAGGGGAGTGCGTGGGTGCTCCAGGAGGACGGGTTGCGCCCAAGCCTTCGGATTGTTCTTATAACCGCCCCCGGGTCTGGCTTGGCCACCCCGGGAGCGATCGTTGTACTGTGCCTCTCGGTGGACCGGAGGGGGAGGCCCTCCGGGCCGGTTCCTGCCTTCATTCTTCTGAGAAGGGTCCGTGTTGCGGCGGTCCTTCTCGATTTCCTCTGCTTCAGCGTATCGATCCCCTCGCTGAAGGGCCTTTGTATAATCGCGGGGGGGATCAGTGATAAGGCTCCGGGAGAAGTTACCATTGCGGAGGACGGTGTGGAAGAGGGCCATCAGGGTCCTGTCATCGGCGCCTTCGACCTCGAGGGAGGCCTGCCTCCAGCGTTCCAGGAAACTCCGCAGGGTTTCCTCCTTCTGTTGTCTCACATTCAGAAGGTGGGAGAAGTGTTTCTTTGAGCGGTGCCTCCCGGCAAACTGCGTAAGGAAGCGGTGGGCAAGTTCTTGCCAAGAATCAATGCTGCCTTCGGGCAACCGGTTGAACCACTCATACGCTGGTCCCTCCAAGGTGGAAAGGAACCAACGGCATAAGTATTCATCCGATGCCCCCATCATCATCATGCTGTTTTGATAACGGCTATAGTGCTCCTGGGGATCCGTCTTCCCCTCATACGGTTTGATAGGTTGCCCCCGATATTTGTGGGGGATTTTGGCCGCCAACACCCTTGGGGTGAAAGGCGTCCTAGTGCGGAGCTGAATGAGGGGCTCGCCGGAGCCTTCGGCCAGTTTACGTTTCATTTCCTCCACCTGTGCCCGGAGGTCAGCGTACTCCGGATCTGGCCTCGCTGTGGAAGCCGTCGGGGGTGCCTGTCGATTCTCCTCGAGTTGACGGAGGAGGGCTTCAATGATTTCGTCCTTGGGATCCTTCGGGGCAACCCCTTGGGAGTTGGCCCAGAAGGATTGCGCCTGGTTGATCTGGTGCCTGGCGTCATCGGCATGGAGGAGGGCTTTGCCTTTGCTCCGTGGGGGAGGCACGCCCTCGGCGCCCGAAGCAGAGGCTCCACTCTCCTGGGGCCTGCTGAATGCCTGTTTCCCGAGGCGGTCTTGGACCCCTCGGTGTCCGGGAGCTCCCCCAAGCCTCTCAAGTACGGAGGTTCGGGGTTTCTCTTTCATCATGGGGCGCTTGTCCCTGGATTGGGCCTCTTGGGAGGCGGTATCCTGTGCCATGACCCCCTCGGCGTTTCCAATCCCCGGGGGAGGATTGTTGAACAGAGGGGGGAGCGGTGGCAATTGAATAACGTTTCCTCCAGCGTAGGGCTGGAGGGGTGTCTGAGAGGCGAGGGCTCCGGAATTGAGAGCCATGTTTTGAACAAAGGCCGCAAAGGCAGCCTGAAGATCGATGGCCGGGGCCGGAGGGGGAACTTGGTTCTCACTCCGATCCCTCCTTCGATTATCAAGGCCAATGCGGGCATCAGGGGCGTTCTTCTGTAGTTGCTGACGGAGGTCAGCAGTAGCCTGCTCCAACTCAAGGATGATACCACCCTCGGGTACTAAGAGCCTGTTGGAGGCCTCAGCCCCGTTGGTTTCGCCGGGGGCTATGTGGTTCTCCTCAAGGGTTTTGGACTGGGCACGGGTGGTTCTTCCCATTTTTGGTAAGTATTTTGTGTTTGGTAGAGGGGGAGGTTTTCTCACTTGATTGTTCTGACCTCTCAACGAGAGCACCAAATGATGGATAGTCTACCCGGGGGGTATCTTATCCGAGGGGTTATTGCGGGAATAACTAGAGGGAAGTCAGAGCAAAATAGGAGGAGAGAGAGTCGATTTATTCAATGAACTCTGCGTGTGGAGTTGAGATGTAGACTGTGTCCATTACAAGGGGGCTGCTATTTATAGCAGCAATAAATGCGATGAGAGGACACGTGTCAGTAATCCAACGGCCGAAGGGTCACATCAGCCTGGTGGCACCGGCAGTGGTACGTCAACCGCATTGAATGCGGTTGGCGGATGTGACGTGGCATTAAATGCGGTGGTTGGCTGTCTCTAAAAGGAATCTTCGATGATTGAGCTTGTTCAGCCGAAGGCTCTTCGTGTGGTCGAGGGCTCCCCATGTAACCGAGGGCTCATTGTGTAGCCGAGGGCTTCTTGTGTGGCCGAAGGCTTGGTTCAGCCGAAGGCTTACCCCTGGTGCCGAGGGCATGAGAATGCCGAAGGCTTATGTCTCCGCCCGTTTTTCTCCCAGCAGCTTCTTATGCCAGAGAAGGCTATCCTGTGAGTTTTGAAGCCTTCGGCCAAGGAGGCCGAAGGCACCCCAGTGTGTATCCTGGGCCACTTTGAGGCTCGGGCCGTTGTTTTTGGGCCTGAGTTGTTTCCTGAGCTCAATGGACTAGTGTAGGAGAAATAGGAGTCTATGGGCCGGGGGTTCCTGGGCCATATACTCCATCAGTCACCTCTCAATTGTCAGTCTTTGAAGGGTGAAATGTACTCCTCGTTCACATTGTACATTTCACCCCTCAAAGGACCACATTTACAGTAATCTGAACAATTGAGAGTGACATTTACAAACCAGGGAGCACAAGTCTGATATTTCAATATGACGACTATTTCAGGGATTAAAAGTGCAATTTTCCCTTGATTTAATTTGTATGTAAAATATATACTATGTGATTAACAATGGTTTGCTAGCTTATTAATAAATCTCTATCATTCAAGGGCCCCACTTGAATCCCAAAAGGGAAGGGGTTGTTTCTAACTATAAAAGCAACAATTATTGTCGTGATGTAGCATCACATATTATCATAATTCTGTAATGATTGTTATTATTTATTAATCAAAATTTCCCTCAATAGTAAATATACTCTTGTGGTGAGTCTATAACACACATACATACATACATACATACATACATACATACATATATATATATTGGTTCCTATATTGGTTAAAATAAAAAATGCTTCCTATGTGAAAAATAAGAACTAATCTTAGTTAGTGATGTTAAAAATGGATGGAACCGATCAAGTTCTAAGTTAGAAATGATTTTTTATAAAAATATGCTCATCTAATTATACTCGTCAACGATTCTTTACAGGTAAAATCACCGAGTATCACTAATAGATTTAATCATTAAGAATATGCAAATGATATGATAATTAGTTAGTAAAAGTGTGAAGTTAAAAAACTTGTCCGGATCAAATAGATTCAATAGAGTGAAGGAGCAAATTAAGAAAATGTTATAAATAAAAAGGATGCAGCAGAATAGTAGATCATACGATAGTAGATCGATCATTAAATGTTATTTTTATATAATGCAATTTTATTACAAGAATTACATTACTTTCAATATTTGGTAGTATACATACAAACCTTCATAAAAGATGCTTGTAGCGCATAAAATATTGCATTTAACATTTAGTTATTTGTGTTAAGGTTTTGCTGTTTGAATGTTTGTTTCTGATCTCCGGTTACACAAATGCACTTTCCAGCGTCAAGTTTACACATTGGCTTTCCATCTATGCATACTAATTGCCTTGCACATTCTTGGTCAGAGTCGCACTTCTGTGCTGATACATGCAAGCCCGGATGAGAGAAACCTGTATGTAAATATGATCAATATGAAATAAATTACATAATGGCTAACTAGAGTACAAATTGAGCAAAGTATTACCGTTGAGTTACAATAAGTTGCTTATAAGTTATAATTAACGTAGTAAATTCAAGTGCATTTTGCATCACGAGTGTGGTTTATTAATACTACGTATTACTTTGATATTCTCCTTATGTATAGAGAAGGTTAACAAAAAAATTGAAGATATATATTTTCACTACATATTTACATTTCCATAATATTCTTGAACTTTAACTTCTTTATGCAAGAATTAAACATTGAATGATACAAAACAAAATACCTCATGTTATAGATAAATTATTGTTTAAGTGGACATTCCTATTTACTTTCAAAAATTCAACCAACACTGAATATGATATAGTTTGTCATGAACCACTAAATAATACGTAGTATATATGCATCACAACAAAAAAACATGATGTATAAATGACAATTCTAGGTTGTACTATATCCGTGATCATATAACTTTTGTTAGTGAAGACCGAAGATTTTAAGCCCCTGTGACCAAGTAACATTCAAAATGCACCTCATGTAGTGAGAGAGACCGACCTAATAGAATGAGGCACAACACAAATGAAAGGATATGTTTAGCTGAGTTTTTCTCCATCTTCTTTAGTTTTCTTTGAATCAGAGAATGCGTGATCAAAGCTTTATAGAAAGAAATATGTGATTTTCTTGACTACGTTTTTCTTATATGTGTACTATGCCAATTATCCTCTATATATACATATACAAGGATGCATTCATTAAAACTCTTCTAGTCATGTTTCTATTTAAACCTTGTTGTTACCAATCTATGTTGTCTATATTCATTGAAACAAATATGTAAAAACAGAAGGAGTATTAATAGTGATAAACTATTATGCGTATGAGTTTTGCGCGTTGCATAATACAAGAAAAATTAAAAACACCCATTCACCAAATTTTTGAATAAGCACCTCCATTTTTTTTACGTAAACCTTATTAATAAAATTATGATAATTGGTGGTGCCTATAGTCACGTGCATTACTTTTTCTTTATTTTAGAGTAGTTTTTTTTATGTATGTCAGATCATGAAAGAACATGTAACTCACCCATTAATAGTTATCAATATCCGCAAAACAAAAGTAATGTTCCATATCATTTTATATACTCCTAATATTGCAACATTCTAAGTGTGCTAGTATGTCAATTTTGTTGTAGTGTTGGGATAACTACAAATGTGTGGATCGAGCCCTAAGATATGTCAAATTCGTTCTGCTAAACACGTTTTTATGCTAAAAAGTGTATACCATTTCTATGCTAAAATTAAAATGAGCTCTTAGTATCCACATCACTAAACACGTTTTTATGCTAAAAAGTGTATACCATTTAACACATTTTAGATAACTATGACGCATTGATGATATACATGACAATGATGACACGTTAATATAAATAATTGTATAATTACGTAGTATATTAAAAGCTTTGAAAGATATTATAATGAATTATGTTTGTAAACTACTAAAGAGGTTTTTACTTGGATTGTTTGTAGTCTCAGATCAGATCAGACCGATTCAGACCAGATCAGACTTCTATAGTTATAAAATACAAACATTTACCATACCAGACCAGACCGGTTCAGATCAAATCAGACTTTAACATACCAGACCAGACCAGCAAATTTCAGTCCAAGTAAAACCATCCTAACTATGTTAATAAAAAGGATCGATGCTTAGCTAACTAAGCATTCGAGCCCAGCTGGTTGTGAGGTTATCGTGCCTAGTGAAAGGTCTCGAGTTTGAAACCCGCTAGACACATAAGAGTTCGAAATCAATGAACTGAGTTTCAGCCCCAATTACTCCAAGCCCCCCTCCTAGCCCCCTCCCCCAGACCTCCTGGAGTAAAAAAAAGGATGCTTCCCTTCTTGAGCTTTGTGCTTCCAACTTCCACACATATTTATTTTAAGATTATCTTCTAGATATACATATATCAGTAAAAATGCCATTAAGTGATACACTATAATACTAGATGATTATCAAGATCCAATTCATCCTTTATCTAGCCACATAAGGCAGGATGTGATAAAAGGCGATACCACTATATATAGAACAGAACCACATATAAAACGGAATTACTCTACAACTAAAGAATGTTAATACTCCAACCTTTTAGCGGTCTTCTTATAATAGTCTCACCTTTTCGTTATTCATGAATAATCCAACTTTTGCACCTCATCTTCATTCACTGGTCTCTGACCGGTTGATGACCTGCTATTCCAAGTTATTTTCTTATCTTTGCAAACCATTATATCATATATCTCACCTTTCACAAAGATAAAATTTTGTAAAGATAAGACAATAACTTGGAATAGCAGGTCATTAACCGGTCAGGGACCAGCGAATGAAGATGAGGTGCAAAGGTTGGATTATTCTTGAATAACAAAAAGGTGGGATATTGTAAGAAGACTGCTAAAAGGTTAAATTATTATTTTCCATTTTCCCTTATATATATTGAAACTCACATGTTTGAAAGACATACAATATGGGAGAAAGACCTAAATAAGACTAAAACAATGGCTATGTATTTAAATAGGACTTACAACTTTTTAAATCCTAAATAAGACTAACTTTGATGGGAATGGACAAAAATACCCTATAGGTACTCGTACAGCAGCTGCCAACATAAACATACTCCTGGAGTAATTCTTCTCATCGAAGAGGAAGGCCATTGGAGAACACCGGGAGTAATTCTTCTCGTCGGTGCCCACTGGAGATGTGCGGTTTCACTGCCGGTCAGCCGCAACCCATCGCCGGAGTAGTCGACGGGCCCTGTTCTTCTTTTCTTACATCGATCTCGGCTCTTTTATTTCTTCTGCCGATCTCAGATCTTCTTCTTCTCTTTTTCATTCTTCTTATCCGTAACCCGATGTGGAGTCTCTATTGCTTCCTTTTTCTGATTTTGTTCGTGCCAGTGTGCCCTGCATTATATTGTAAAACACTTTCATTGTTGTTTGACACTTTGACATTTCAATTTGTTTACTTTTTTGATTTCAATTTCTTACTTAGTATTAGTTAGTACCACGTATTTATTATTCTTGCTGTTTTGTTTCATTTTGTAGATCCATCTGTATAATTAATTTTTAGACCGTTTTTCATATTTTAGTTTGATAACCTTTTTCATTGATCTTAAAATGCTCCGTAATAAACAGTTTGACATTACTAGTAATTTAATATTATTGACATTGTCCTTATATTGCTGGATTTTATTTTATAATTATAGACATTGACATTATATCACAATATTGTCAAAGTTTATTACATTTTGTTACATTGACATGAAGTTAGAATGACATGACAATGTCAATGCAATGACAAATGATATAATTAAAAATAATGCCAATACTTTTAAAACTTATATTGTTTATATATAAAAATAAACATGGTGACATTATTTCATCGACGATATTGTAAAATTATTACTGTGTCATGTGAGATTGAGTTGTAATAGTGTGATATTGTAAAAAAGTAGCATTGTTCTCGTTGATGACATATTGACATTGTTTTCATTGATGACATCGTGATATTGTGACATCGTGTAAGAAATCTGTAGCATTATCAAAAAGTGGCATTTTGTTGGTAATGACGTTGTGTAATAACATTATGACATTGTTTCATTAATGACAATGTGATACTATGACATTTATGTAATATACATATAACATAGTTACATTAGCACATGACATTTTAATATTATCAGTGTGCCATCGTCAAGTGACATTCTTTTCATTGAAGATATTATAACATTGTGTAGTAACAGTATGACATTGCAATGTTAATATTGTAATGTGTGTCAAACACTGTGACAAACACTGTCATTATATTCTTTTCACAGTGACAAACACTGTCATTATAAATATTTTCAAAACATAAAAGTGTGTCACAATGTTAAATAATGACAATGTCAATGTTATACCAGTGACATTGTAATAAAGATATAAATGACAACATCAATGCTACAAAAAATGACATTGTAAAAATTAAATGACATGAAAATCATTCATTAATAGTGTCATTATCAAGAATGAAATAATAGCAATAATATTATGACCGTTTATCAACATTTTTCTTATGAACTCTCACAATTTAAAAGCATTACAAAAGTATCACAATTATATACATATATATTTGATGACATTGCAGCCATAATTCCATTATTATAAGGTACCGAGTAAATGTTTATTAAGAATAAGCAATACGGAGTGTTTAATATAAAAGCTAAAATCAAAGAGTGGGGTTATAACTTTTTACAGTAACATTGGGTTTCAATTCCAAAAAGGAAATTGGAAAGGAGGAAACAACAATAACAAAACACAATTGATTTACACGTGCAAACAAAATTAAAAGAAGAGTAACAAAAGAAAAGAACAAGAGGAGCTAAAAAGAACAGGCAGCCACGGAAAAAGATCAGACATCAACGGAAGGAGGAGAGGAAAAAAGAGCAGCAACCAAATTGAAGAAGAGGAGAGGAGGAGGAGGAGGAGAAGAAGCGAGATTTGTATCATCTTCGTCATTTTCAGGCGCACCTTGCACCTCCTCCTCATCGACTTGCCGTCCATTGTCCCTTTGGTATCAAGCTCAGGTCTGCAGCCAACGCAATTCAATCACCGCCGCCGTTTCCCCGCGACTGCTCTCCTCATCTCATTCGGCCTTAGTGTGCGGGTTCTATTGTTCCGTCAAGGAGCGCTCCCAATCTTGTGCCGTATGAAAGTGAAATCAATTATCCCTAGTTTGTCGATAGAGAAGACCACATGCATGGCAGAGAAACGAAATAGGGATTAAGGGTAAATATGGAAGATTACGAAAATTAAGTCCTATTTAGGATTTAAAAAGTTTGAATTCCTATTTGAGTACATCCAATCAATTTTAGTCCTATTCACCACCATTTCTCATACAATATTACATCCAAAAACTGAAAGAGAAAATGAATAAAGTTTGAAATTGCGAAAAGTAAAAGATATATAATGGGAAATGTATAAAAGTTGGGGCATAATATAGTGTCAAATGCTAGCGCGTGGAAGCTTAATAGTTAAGCTTTTGGGTGCTATGGACAAAAGGGCATATTGGAGCCAGTTTTGTGACTAAGGATGGTGAAGTGCCTAAGCATCCCAACTTGTTCCTTCATGTAAGCCTCACACAGAAAAGCCCTTGAAAACTTGTTGTCCACCCACCTTTCGGCATCATGCACAAACACATCAGTTTTGGCCCCTTCTTCTCTGTTCTTTGCCATCATCCCAACCGTGTAGATCACACTCATCCTTCCGGGCAGCTCCTTGGTCCAGCTCTTTGGTGCATCCACCATGACCACATCCCATTTTGTCTCATACACTTCCTTGGGCATGTTCTTCAGAGCCAGTCTGCATTTCGAGTATCTCGGGTCCATCACCTTCTTGCACTCTTCATCCGTCTTCCCAATCCTCAAGAGCTCCACGGCCTCCTCAACGTGAGTGTCGTACTCCACGTGGTATATTTCGAGAGACAGCTTCATCAACTTCACGCGCTCGATCCACTGGCTGTCCTCTTCTAGGAAAACGGTCCGCCCATTGTGATTCAGGGATTTCCACAGCAGGCTGTCGAATCCGAGCCCGAAGACCAAGAAGTTGCATGGGGACCTTCTCTGGAGGATGGTTTTTGTGAGCGAAATTTCTTCAAAGG